ACAACAAAAATTGAAACCATTTTTATAATTAAACACGAGAACACCATTTGAATTTATAAAGGGAAACAACGAAGAAGAATGAGAGAAGGGTTAAGAGAACCAAGACGAAGCATGCAAGAAAAAACCTATTGTGAAAGGATGATTCATCAAAATTCAAGGACCTCTTGTGCCATTTATTCACTTCTGGTTAAGGGCGCCTGTGCAATTTATTCACTTTAGCTCAAAGGGAGATATAGATGGCGCATAGGGGAATGGGTAATCTCATTTCACAACTCAAACAAACATGGCACATAGGTGAGGGAGCCATCTTTACCTATTTTGTCTTATGCTCATTCTCCACACTCTCATTCCACAAAACACATACAAAACGAATAGGTGGGAGAACCATCTTTACCTATTTTGCCCTATTAAAATACTTCTCCCTTCCATATTCTTTCATTACACTCTGTCACGTGACAAAAAAGAACCTATACTGATAAATTTTTATTTATTTATGTAAAAAAAACGGATTCAATTTGATTTAAATGCAACTGTTAATATTTTAAATCAATATTATGATTTCAAACTACAGCCACTAACAAATTTCGTTGACGCGGGCAACAACAGTTAAGGATAAATCTGAAAAACGAGAGAAAGTAAAAGAAAAAACAATTAAAAAAATCTTAACCTTTAATTAAAAAAAAAATCAAATTGTATTTTTCTTCTCAATATTTATGAATATGTAATTTTAGTCTATATAAAAATAAAAATATTTAATTTTTTCATTTTTTTAAAAAATAAAATTTTAATTTTAATATAAATTTAATAATTATTAATCATTAAAATTGGACATTATTTAATGACATATCAATTATTAAATAATGTGATATATAATAATAATTAAAAAGTTAATATAAAAATTTATTTTTATATATTTCAACAAATAATTAATATTATTTTATTAATAAAAAAATTATTTGTATGAATTTTTTCAGTTCTCTAAATATCATATTATTTAAAAATAAATATACAGTAAAATTTAATAATTATTAATAACTATTAATTTAACGAAACTAAAAAAATAAAACTACAAAGATTAAATATTTTATTTTAAAATTAAAAAACTAAAATGGTGCATAAAAAATAATAGCAAAGAATACAATTTAATTTAAAATCTATTAAAAAAATTTCCTATAAATTATTTTCGACGGCGGTGGGAGACATCAACCGCTTATATTTTTTTTCTACAAATTATTTCCGACGGTGTTAGGAGACATCGACCGCTTGCCGACCACAACCTAAATCTTCTTACATGGTTATCTATATAAAAATGATTTTTTTATTTGGTCATTTTTCTTATTTTATTAGTTATAAATAATTTTTAATAATTGTATAAATTGTTAAATAAATTTATTTTTTTAAAAGGAATCACGTAAAACCTCATTTCATCGGCAAATAAAAAAATTGTTATTATTCGATATTCATTCCGAGATCATGGTTATAAAAATAAATATTAGGCTAAAAACTTAATTTAGTCCCTTATAATAATTTTTTGTTTTAATTTAGTCTCACTTTTATTTTTTGTTTCAATTTGATTTCAAACTTATTAATTGGTTTCAATTTAGTCCCAAATTAATTAATTAGTTTCAATGTGGGACTTCCGTCCAAATTATTTAAACGAAGTTAACTTTTAACCACGTGGATGCCACGTAGATGCATACGTAGCATCCAAGTGGATGAGAATTTTTTTGAAAACACCTGAAACTAGAACGACCCGTTTTGAAATCGAAACGGGCCGTTCTGGTTGCAAAATTAAAACACCAACAGTGAAGAAGAATGAGCCGTTCTGAAACCCGAACGGTCCTTTCTGGATTCAAAACGGCCCGTTCTGGATTCAGAACGACCCGTTCCAAAACTGTGAATAAAATATTCTATGCTTAATTATGTTTTTGATCGCTTAAGTATTATAATTATGCAATTTTGATCCCTAAGGTTTTAATTGAGTAATTTCAATCCTTAAAAGATTATAGTTGTGTAATTTTAGTCTCACAATTTTTAATTTAACAATTTTAATCTCTCAAATATCATAATTATGCAATTTTAGTCTTTCTCATTAAAAATTTAATAATTTTAAAATTTTAATATATATATATAATGTTTTAAAACTATATAATTGTTTGCTTATTTAAATTAACGTATATTATAATTTTTTTAATGTATTAAATGATATATATTTATTATTACTAAATAAATAAAATTTATATATTATTAATATTTTAATATTACTGATAAATTAATATCAATAATATTTTTACTATATTTATAAATAAACTAATAATTTGATAAATATAACTTAATATATATTAATATACTTTTACAAAAATATAAATATATAAGATCAGATATATATTTCTAATTAATATACTTATATTTTTGTAAAAGTATATTAATATATAACAAGTTATATTTATCAAATTATTAGTTTATCTATAAATATATTAATAATATTATTGATATAATATC